GAAAGCATCATGATGTGCGTACGGCCATAAGTATCGTAGTCGTGGAGGTTGTGGAGGTGGAGGTGGAGGTGGAGGTGGAGGTGGAGGTGGAGGTGGAGGTGGTGGAGGTGGTGGTGGTGGTGGTGGTGGTGGTGGTGGTGGTGGTGGCGGTGGTGGCGGCGGCGGCTGCGGCCGTGGCCGTGGCCGTGGCCGTGGGTGGCGGCGGCGGAGGTGGTGGTCGGGTTTTGGTTGTGGTGGTGATGAATGTAAGGCTAATTCTCGTTCAGTCGGTTAGCCTTTAGAGTTCAGGGTTGTAGGAAACTGAACCCCAAAGCCCTACACCCTGAACCCTCAATATCGTAGCTTCCATCTTCTTTTCTCAAAATAACCCCCTATATAACCCCTATATTACCGTAAGAACTGTAATATAAACCCAATATTACCTCAATAAAACCCCAGGGGTTCCGGCATCGGCTTTGCCAGGCCTATCCATCAAGGATGGACTCATGACCATTGCCGTCACCACTCACGGAGGCGAAGCAATTACCACGCCCAATGCCTTGTTCCCAAACGCATCGGAATCTGAGGACCGGAATGGCACTTGCGGCTTTCTTGAAAATGGGTACTGTAGGGGGGTTGTTGAAAAGTTATGGGACTCCGTTTTTGAGAAACATCCTTTTGAGTTCTGAGTTTGAGTAAGCAGGCAGGGATACTGCGCATCCTGGTTAACATGTTGGTTCAAGCATCTCTCATTTTCTTACGCAGCTCATTTTGGGATGTGTTGACATGACTGGCACAGGTGCGGAGGGGCGTCATAGCAACTCTTTCGAGACGCAGCTAGTGAACAAATAGAGCTTGGATATTGCCCCCGCCCAAGTGTCTTCTGGAAGGGTACAGCACAAGCTTTAAAGCCTCAATGCTAGCCCTGTTCTAGACTGTTATTGAGTGGTGCAGTGCCCAAAGTAAAGCCAGTAATGAGGGATGAAGACATTCGTGAGGTAGTGCCAGAAGGCCGTCACGTGCGCGTGAGTAGTGTATCGGATGCCATTGGATCCCAGGGCGTAGGGCTAGGGTATGGGGTTTAGGAACTAGGGTTTAGGATTTAGTCTCTCAGATAAACGGCTTTACTGTAGGGTGTTGCGCCTCGTTTATGAATGTTTTCGCCCTCAATATATTTTGGGATTTCTGCAGTCAGGGTCAAAGTTCAAAGGTCCTTTTTTCCAGTATACTAAGCCACTAACAGGGATGCGAGTTCCAACTTTGTAGTATCTAAATGATGGATCGTCCACATGTAAACCTTACGCCCCAGTGGCTAGCTCCGCTTGAGAAGTTCCTTTTAAGGCCCATAAACCCCAAACCATGCATGGATTATTGTCAAAGGCCTTGGTCCCGTGGAGCATTACCCCAAAGCCAAAACCCCAAATCCTCAACCCTGAACCCTAAACCCTTTACCCTAAACCCTAAACCCTCAAATCCTCAACCCTGAACCCTAAACCCTCTACCCTAAACCCTAAACCCCAAATCCTCAACCCTGAACCCTAAACCCTTAACCCTAAACCCTAAACCCTCAAATCCTCAACCCTGAACCCTAAACCCTCTACCCTAAACCCTAAACCCCAAATCCTCAACCCTGAACCCT